CGGGCACCTGCGTCCCTGGGAGTGCGGGCCTGCGGCGGCCCGTCACACACATACAGCACAGGAGAAAGAATTTGAGTTTGACATTGTATAATTTCACTTATAATTATACGTGAATTTCCGTATCCTGGGTGTTCCTGATTTGGAAATACCCTTGATTCAGACCCTGGCACGGGGAGGAGGAAGCAGCTCTGTGCACTGCCGCCTCCTTACCTCTCTATATGGGGGAATGGAAGCTCAGTGAAGCACTTCTCCAGAGTCTTTTCCCCTGCTGCTGCCATATTGGTGGGAGGCAGTATCTGGGGGTGGCAGGGGATGCAGAGCCACATGTGTCCTCAGGAGCAGGGCACCAGGTAAGCACCCTATCCACCTTCTCACCATCCTAGCTCCTCCATGGTCCACAAAAATTCCTTAATCCGACATACCCTATTTCCCAAGTTAAAGAGTTCAAATATATTTAATACACTGAAAAATATACATTAAAAACTTTACAATCATATGTTTAGAAAAAAAAGTTGGGTCAAAATTGTGGTGTTCTCATTTTGGCACAGCATTCTTTTGTGTCCTCTCCCCTCCCCCCCAGCCATAGTTCTGCTTTTCTGTGGGGTATGGGGGGGTTGCAGTGGAGACACTCCTGGCCCTAGCCCACTGGCTTATCCCTTTTGATGCTGGACCAGGGGTGTTGCCAGACTAGGGAACTCTGGATTATGGACTCTCAACTTCTATTTTCTATTCCTTCCTATAAGGCAGTTAAAGCACTAATTCATAGAATCATAGAACACTAGAACTGTAAGAGACCTTGAGAGATCATTGAGTCCAGTCCCCTGTCCTCCCGGCAGAACCCAGTGCCAACTCTAGACCATCCCTGATAGATGTCTGTCTAACCTACTCTTAAATATCTTCAGAGATGGAGCTTCCACAACCTCCCTAGGCAATTTATTCCAGTGTTTAACCACCCTGACAGTTAAGAAGTTTTTCCTAGTGTCCAACCTAAACCTCTCTTGCTGCAGTTTAAGCCCATTGCTTCTTCTCCTATCAGAGGCTAAGGAGAACAATTTTTCTCCCTCCTCCTTGTGACACCCTTTTAGATATCTGAAAACTGTTATGTCCCCACTGTCTTCTTTCCAAACTAAGCAAGCCCCATTCTTTCAGTTTCCTTCATAGGTCGTGTTCTCTAGACCTTTAATCATTCTTGTTGCTGTTCTTTGGATCCTCTCCAATTTCTCCATATCTTTCTTGAAATGTGGTACCCAGAACTAGATATAGTACTCCAACTGTGGCCTAGTCAGCGCAGAGTAGAGCAGAAGAATGACTTCTCGTGTCTTGCTCACAACACTCCTGTTAATGCATCTCAGAATCATGTTTGCTTTTTTTGCAACTGCGTCACACTGTTGACTCGTATTTAGCTTGTGGTGCACTATGATCCCTAGATCTCTTTCTGCAGTACTCCTCCCTAGACAGTCACTTCCCATTCTGTATGCGTGAGACTGATTGTTCCCCTTCCTAAGTGGAGTACTTTGCATTATTAAACTCCAGCCTATTTACCTCAGACCATTTCTCCAGTTTGTCCAGATCATTTTGAATTATGATCCTATCCTCCAAAGCAGTTGCAAACCCCTCCCAGCTTGGTATCATCTGCAAACTTAATAAGCATATTCTCCATGCCAGTATCTAAATCATTGAAGATGATTTTGAACAGAACTGGTTTCAAAACAGACCCATTATGCCCTTCCAGCAGGACTGTGAACCGTTAATAACTATTCTCGGAGACTGGTTATCCAGCCAGTTATACACTCACCTTATAGTAGCCCCATCTAAGTTGTATTTGCCTAGTTTATTGATAAGAAGATCATGCGAGACAGTATCAAATGCCTTACTACAGTCTAGGTATACCACATCCACTGCTTCTCCCTTATCTACAAGACTTGTTATCCTATCAAAGACAGCTATCAGATTGGTTTGACGTGATTTGTTCTTTACAAATCCATGCTGGCTGTTACCTATCACCTTATCTTCCAGGTGTTTGCAGATTAATTCCTTAATTACTTGCTCAATTATCTTTCCTGGAGGAGAAATTAAACTGACCAGTCTGTTGTTTCCTGGGTTGTTCTAATTTCCCTTTTTATATTCTCCTTCAGGAGATAGGATAACAAGTCTTGTGGATAAGGGTCTATTGTTTCCTGGGTTATTCTAGTTTCCATTTTCCAGACTTCTGGAATCTCTCCTGTTTTCTGTGATTTTTCAAAGATGATAGCTAAAGGCTCAGATATCTCCTTTATCAGCTCTTTGAGTATTCTAGGATGCATTTCATCAGACTCTAGTGACTTGCAGATACCTAACTTTTCTAAGTGATTTTTAATTTTTTTTTTTAAATCTTCTAAACCTCTACCTCGTTCCCACTAGCATTCACTGTTAGGCATTCCTTCATCATGAGACTTTTTGGTGAAGACTGAAATGAAGTCAATAAGCACCTTTTGCCATTTCCAAGTTTCCTGTTAGTTTCTTCCTCCTCACTGAGCAGTGGGCCTACCCTGGCTTTGGTCTTCCTCTTGCTTCTAATATATTTATAGAATGTCTTTGTGTTTCCCTTTTTGTCCATAGCTCGTTTTGTGCCTATTCCTTTCTAATCTTGCTCCTTCCTACCTGTATTGTTTGCTTATATTCATCTTTTGTAATTTGTCGTAGTTTTCCCTTTTTATATGGGGAAACTAATCTCCTGGTTAAGCCACGGTGACCTTTTGACATACTTTCTATCTTTCCTACACAACAGAATAGCTTGCTTTTGGGTCCTTAATGATGTCTCTTTGAAAAACTGCTAACTCTCTTCAGTTGTTTTCCCCGTAGTCTCATTTCCCATGGGACTTTACCTACCAGCTCTCTGAGCTTACCAAACCTGCCTTCCTGAAATCCATTGCCTCTATTTTGCTGTTCTCCCGTCTACAATTCCTTAGAATCTTGAATTCTATGATTTCGTGATCACTTTCACCCAAGCTGCTTTCCACTTTCAAATTCTCAACCAGTTCCTCCCTATTTGTTAAAATCAAATCTAGAACAGCTTCCCCCCAGTAGCTTTTTAAACCTTCTGAAATAAAAACTTGTCTTCAGTGCAGTCCAAGAACTTGTTGGATAGTCTGTGCCCCCACTGTTTGTTTCCCAACATAAGTCTGGATAGTTGAAGTCTCTAATCGCCACCAAATCCTGCACATTGGATGAATTTGTTAGTTGTTTAAAAAAAAGCCTTGTCCACCTGGGTAGGTGGTCTATAGTATACCCCTAGCATGACATTACCCTTGTTTTTTTTGTTTTTTTTTACCCCTTTTAGCCTAACCCAGAGACTCTCGACACATCTGTCTCCTACGTTCATCTCCGCCTCAGTCCAAGTGTATTTATTTTTAATATATAAGGCAACACCTGATCCCTTTTTTCCCCTTTTATTATAGTTACGTATTAGGGGTATAGTAATTTTAGAGACTTTATAGTAATTATCAGTGCCTACAAAGGAGCTTCTGGAAGTGTTTATATTGCAAGTTACTTTTCTCCATTTAATAAAAGTTCCCCGTTTACCTTTTCTCCAAGATTACTACTACAGTTCTCCTGCTACTTGGCTTCTATTTTTTTTTCCTTTCCCTGTATTACCTGAGCTATTGTAATCTCAAGTCGAGTTGGCTTGAGTTAGAAATGTAATTATGGATATTGTTTTCAAATGCAGACCTTCCTCATTTTCCTTGTATTTTTTTTAAACCTAAGATTGAACTTCTCAAACACTTTCCTGAAGGTGTTAGCACGGAGCAAGGCTTTGCCAGAGAGCTTCAGCTTCTCAGGTAAAGTACCAAAAAATCACCTGTAAAAAATGAACATCCTCTTTACTGTGCACAGAAATTAGAAATGAGATGTTCTGATTGAGGAATACCCAGAGCAACTTTTACTCTTTATAATATTTTAAATTTTAATTATGTTACAGATTAACCAATAATCGACTGGAGAAGGAAAAAGCAGAACTAGCTCACCAGGTGAAGGCTTACCAACATCAGACGGGCATTAATGAAAGCGAAGGCTCTGCAGCTGGTAGCCATTTTCAGTAACTAAAGTATAAGGATTTTTCAGTAATTTGAGCTGGAATCTGCTCTCATTTACTCTACTAGTGAAAGGCAGGAGTAATTCCATAATTGTAAATTAAATTATGCCAGTATAAAAATGCAGGTACTCTGTTGTAATAGAAATAATTGTGAAAAGCTAGATTTCTAATATATTCTTATCTTCAGAAAAAACATTTTATGATAATTTTGTGATTAATAGAAGTTATTGAAGATAATACTTTCCTTTTTGAAAACATGTACATAGTTTCCTGATGCACACATCAGGACTTTATGCACATTAGAAGCAGGTAACTGCTTAACAACTATTGTAACACTGTTATTGTATGGTTTCAGTGGTCTATGTATTAGACAACTGTTACCAGAAATCATGTTTTAATCCATCCACTAGCTGCAAGTTTATAGCTACTTCGTATTGCTTGTAACCATATAACAAGTGTCAGAACTGTGACCAAGAATGGGAAAGTAATAGCAGACCTGTTATTAAATTAATTTTAAAAAGCACCTTTGATCTGAAGAACATTTACCACAGCTCCCTTATAGCTGTTTCCCTTTCCCTAAAAGGCTCACTTTAGCACAGCTACCCTCTGAAACTTTTGTGTTAGTCTGTCATTTAAAAAAAGAGTGGTCCTGTAGCACCTTAGAGACTAACAGATTATATATAGAGAGAGATTATGAATATTAATATCATGAGTTTCTGTGGACTCAACCCACTTGACTTATCTGAAGCCTCAAAAGCCTCTAATTGATAATATATACAGTAAATTTCCGATAATCCAGCACCTTTAGGACCCAGGGGGTGCCAGATTGTCAAATATGACAGACTATCAGAAGGGGTGGCTATGAGGGGTCTGGGGTGGGGGGGGTGGAGGGATGGGACGGCGGCGCTGCGGGACCAACCCGGCAGCACCCCAGCTGCTCCGCCCCGGGCGTCCCCAA